CATTTTTGACTTCGGCCGAAAAGATTTTATATTTAAGGCGATTAAATATGCCAACCAATATCCTAGCGTACAATAGTGTTTGTTCTTGTGGTATCCAAGTACTAAACCGGGACTATGCAGAATCAACACTAGTGAACTATCAGACCACACAGAGTAATTGCCAAATGAACCCGTTCAACTGCTGAGAGGCATATATAGGTCTGAAAATATGATTTTTATGCACACGAGTAGGTAATATTTATCTCGTCTGATTGTTCAGTTTTTTAGTTATTTGTCTCAGCGGTTCTGCAGAGCAGCTACAATTATACCAGACACCTAAACGTCCCAGTAGAATATGTTCGGACTGGGGTAGCAGTGGTGATGATAAGGATAAGGAAAAAGTGTGGAGTCAAAGACAAGGTCATCAAACACCGTATGCTCTTCTTTCGGGCTTCATGCGATGCAAAAGTGAAGTTAGAATGAAAGGAACTTGTCCGAGAGGAAAGTTAGTACAGTTGATCAGCTCATGGTGAATGCACGCGAGCTTGAAGCCCTCCGGATGCGGATGCTGTTAGTCCAGAAAGTCATTGACTTTTTTTTTAAAAAGTCACCAGGGCGCACAATCTGAACGACGCTGTGTGCACGTCTGGTGGATCAGAAGACCAGTAGATAACCCAGTGGAAAGCGCCACCAGTGCCAGTGCTGAGACCCGGCTTTGCACGCACTTTCCGGAAGCCCATAAATGCGGCAAGGCCCGTTGAAACTCGGTGGAACGACTAAGAGTGTTCTGTGGATCGCTGCGGGTGCGGGTCTTAATGGGCGCGTTGTAAAACAGTTGACGTAGCCATATCCGTGAAAATGCTGTTGAAGGTGGATGATACTTTTGTGACAGCAGTTGATGTAAATTGGCAAGCCATTTTATTCAGCCTTTCTACATTACTTTTTAATTTTCAATCCATAATGCATCTTTTTAATGGATGTTGTCCAATGTCATATTGCTGCAAAGTTTACCGTACACCGATTTCGAATTTCTAATCTGGTTCCAGAGGAACTCGACGTGAATAAGAACCCGTCTGTGAGGAGGCACTGTCAGTGCTTTCTACCCTATCAGCTAACGCGTATCCACACTTTCCGCCACAAGTGGTGCTACCGTTCTCGTTGTCATCAGTTCAAGTGATGGTTGCGGCTACATCAGCTCTGTCTTGCGACACTGGAAACGCATCAACCAAAGCGATCGTCTCTCGCCCGCAGCTGTTGTGTGATCCACAACGGGCCTGATGCGGCTAGTTGACCTCATTTATGAACTGGCGCGATGTATGCTCGAGGCCGCGTCTGAGTGCATCCACTGCAGGCGTTTGTCACCGGGTTGCCTATTGGTTTCGGGTCCTTCAAAGGCGCGCCTACTGCGGATTCGGATTGTGCACTCAGGTGTCGGAGACTTTCCAGATTAACCGACCCAGTAGTCGGGACAGCCAGTTGGTGCGTGATTTTGCTCAAAGCGCACACATACGCAACCATGTGGGGCTCCCTGGCCGCACAATGCTCTCAGCTGCAAAACCTTTACGAATGGAATGAAAGTTTTTACGCCAAAATGTTGCATTTGGTTGCGTATGTGCTCAAACCAAAAACCACCCTAATTTACGTTCATACTTTCGCAGCTCACCAAATTCCACTGTCCACTGGGGCAATCATGTCTGAACACCCACTCACGTGGAAAACTGTCACCGCGAAGGCTAGGACACCGATGGTAGGCTTCCAAAGCCTCCAAAGCTGGAAGCATGTCAGGTGATTCACCAAACGTATTCTGGATCACGTCTTATGAGCAGACATTCTCGAGGTTCAATAAGCTCGTGGAAAATGCGCCAGCACTACCGGGTGAAACGTCTAGATCTCTAGCGGTACATGATAAATCGGTGGATACCTTCATGCGCAAGGTTACTGCAGACTTAGTGTGTATGTGTGCTTCAGGATTCCAACTGTACTTGAAGCTGACGAAACTCCTGAGACGTTAGTTGTCCAGGCTGCACTGCCTGGACTGTGAAATAATTATACATCTCCCTACACTTCTGGGAGTAGAATGGTTCCTTCACCTGGGAATACTACTCATTCTAATCTGACAGAAATTTAAACTACAGATCCAACGTGTGGAATGTACGTTTCCTTACCATTATTGAACAGCTTGTGATTTGGTCAGGCATCAATATGCGTCAAACGGGCTTATTCAGTTGCAGCCATCTTTGGATAAGTTGAAATAATTTCTACGGATTGTGACAGAATTTCACGATCAGGTCATCAAGTAACATCTGCTTCAGGTGGTCGAGTTATCCTGTGATTTGTGCTCAAAGCTGACACAAACGTTCAAGGAGTATGTGGTCCATCGTGGAAAGCGCAACTGTCTGTAGTGGTTGTACTCCAACTCGGGCTTTGAGTATAGCTCACTCAAATAATTCAAATATTTCTAATTTTACTGGCGCGTTAAACGGTCGAATACAACGGCCTTCATTTTACGCGCTGGTCTTAGTATTCCAGTTCCCCTGCCTTAGAATAACAGAACAAGCTAAGGAGATGTATTGTGCGGTGGCCGAGCTATTGGGTTACGCCTGCACTGAGCCTGCCAGACTACGCGATAGGGAGAAGAGAGAGAACTGGGGACACGGCTGCATTGCCAGGCCAAAACATACAGAATATCCGCGTAAATATATAGGATGACTAATTGGCCAAATATGCTCGTTCACTTGTTCGCTCCGTACAGCCAATGGTGGTGTTCCGGTCGTGAACATTCTCAGGCCCACTACGCTGGTCGTGTGTTGCTAGGCCGTGTTTAGTGGGAGCCGCCGACTCCCCTACTTTCCGGACGGGTCGAACCGATGGTGACCTTGGGGATGCATCACTCTCTGCACATGTGCTTTTTCTTCTGTCTGGGCGCGCCCTGACAGGAGGCTACCGTCATACGTACAACAATAACAAGACTGTCGTGGATTTGGAAAAAGTTTGTCGCACACTTGAAGGTCGACATGTGACATTGTTTGAATCCTGACCCCAGGGTCGTCGTTCTGTGTGATAACCGGGTCACAAGCTTGCAAGCTGCAATTAACCATTCGGATTACTTAGCATCTACTTAGAGCTAAATGAAAATGGAAAATAGGATCCTCATCTCACCGGTAAGCGGGCAGGCGAATCAGGTGTATTTCACTGGAAATGAACAGCTGAGTGCACGGTATGGATCCCTACTGTCAAATATAGCCCCCTAGATTTGCTCTCTCTCTCTCTCTCTCTCGTTGCAATGATTCCTGAACCCACTTGAACGGTCTTAATTTGACGCAACATAGTTATGTTTTTGAAAACAAACTTGATATTATGCCCACTAGGGCCCCTGTTTTGGAGTTTTGTTTGATTTACACGAATTACAGAGGTCCAAATGAAACTAACACGGGAAGAATTCCGTAGTGGTCTTGTCAGAATTTTTCATATTGGGGACCAACTAGATGTTTCGGTTAACTGGTCTGTGGGTTGGGTCAGTGTATTCTCTAGTCGAACTAGTAGGAAAGTCGCTGGTCACCGGTGAAACGCACCCACGTGCAGCTAAAAATCACTGTGCTTGCTTTTTCTTCTGTCTGGGCGCGCCCTGACAGGAGGCTACCGTCATACGTACAACAATAACAAGACTGTCGTGGATTTGGAAAAAGTTTGTCGCACACTTGAAGGTCGACATGTGACATTGTTTGAATCCTGACCCCAGGGTCGTCGTTCTGTGTGATAACCGGGTCACAAGCTTGCAAGCTGCAATTAACCATTCGGATTACTTAGCATCTACTTAGAGCTAAATGAAAATGGAAAATAGGATCCTCATCTCACCGGTAAGCGGGCAGGCGAATCAGGTGTATTTCACTGGAAATGAACAGCTCAGTGCACGGTATGGATCCCTACTGTCAAATATAGCCCCCTAGATTTGCTCTCTCTCTCTCTCTCTCTCGTTGCAATGATTCCTGAACCCACTTGAACGGTCTTAATTTGACGCAACATAGTTATGTTTTTGAAAACAAACTTGATATTATGCCCACTAGGGCCCCTGTTTTGGAGTTTTGTTTGATTTACACGAATTACAGAGGTCCAAATGAAACTAACACGGGAAGAATTCCGTAGTGGTCTTGTCAGAATTTTTCATATTGGGGACCAACTAGATGTTTCGGTTAACTGGTCTGTGGGTTGGGTCAGTGTATTCTCTAGTCGAACTAGTAGGAAAGTCGCTGGTCACCGGTGAAACGCACCCACGTGCAGCTAAAAATCACTGAATAAAGTGTGGTAATGATGTAGTGCATGGTCAGGTCAATCTGTAAGCATACGTACACGTGCGTCTACGTCAAGCTTCCGGCAACTGGACGCAGTGTTCGCATTTTGCATGGGTACGCGCGGTTGCTGGATTTGCGCCTACCTGCCATGACCCCATAAACAATGGTAGCACTCTAGTTGAAAAAACGGAGATGAAAGATTTTCATCCAACTCTTGTTGTATAATCTCATGTCAGTTCTTTTTCACATCGAAAAGTACTCCACAAATTAGTTATACTTCTGAAAACCACCCCTCAGAACAAAGTACCTTTAAGTGCTTCAAACATGTGCCATACGTTACCATATAAAGGAAACACAGTGGGGTATTTTCACTGATCTGCTCTGACAACCTCTTACTCTAATAACTGTCTCTGGTCGGTCCCCTTAATTACTCACTTTGAATATTGCACAATGAATTCTCACCTTTCGTATAGTAATGACCAGAATAATCTTGATTCCGCCTGAGGACACGGAATGTTGCCTTTCTGGAACTAGGGAAAAACACTCTCATTCGCGAAAAAGTACTTCTTCCCCGTTCCATTTTTGGAGGACTATTCTGTCCATATCTTCCAGCGACGAAGATAATTTTACTCCAAGTGAATCACTTCAAGATCTGAAATCAAGCTGAATACCCTTTGTTCATGTTTCCATTTTCTTACCAAATTCTTATTCGCTCTCCTTGATTCACCCTAGGCGAACTAAAAAAGAAGCCGAACTTCGAGAATTACTACATAACCAGCGGCAGGAGCAGATGCAGCAGGAGAGGAGAAAAGAGGAAGAAATGAAACAGAAATCTGAGAAGGCAGCTGAGGCATATTATCAATGGGAAATGAAGAAGGTAGGCTCCAGCAGCATAGCCCCTGTACTAGTTAGTTCACCAGGGTTTACTCCAAATTTAAGCTCCGAACAAACCGTGCGAAAGATTGCTTTCTGAGCTGGTACTAACGAAAACACTGATATTAACCGTTTAGCTTCAGTACCATTTCGGTTCACAGTTGTCATTCCGCACAAAGAAAGCACGAGGGCTGAGATAATCTTAGGTTGCCCGAGGCTGGACAGGAGCGGTCGAGATAACGGGGTTGGGTTCGAACAACAGACGCAAGTTAAGTAAGCAAGTAAATTAGATCCACGCCTTAGCCACTGAGCTATCCCGAAGTGAGAGCTACTTACCCCTGAGCTAGTACCGATATCGTTACTTTCTAATTCTATTAGCTGGATCTCAAGGAAGTAAACGTAAAGATGAAGTTTCCTGATGACTTAACGATACAAACTAACACTCAACGACCAGAATCAAAAATTAATCTGTCCCAATATGGATTAAAGATAATCGTGTAGGCGTAGGAGCGAAAAAGTGAATCAGCATCAGGTACAGTAGTATTTTCACTCCAAATTCGTGCCTTCCTGTGGTCAGTGGTACTAGTCACTTGCAATCAATGCGTAGAAATTATTGATCTGAGGGTACAATAGTCTGATTGGGTTGAGCCAGGAAAACTGGGACTGAAACGTCAACATAATTTATGCTGAACTATGTGACGTGAGTCCGAGCTTTCTCATATTTTCAGATAGCGAGTCTGGGTGCCATGATTATTGGTCACGGATTCAACCAGGTACAGCGTTTCTCTTGGTCGACCATGTTAATGTTCATGAATTTGAATGTCGTAAAATGTTGTGAGTTATTGTTCACCTCAACATTCCACCCATTTTCAATCCGGTAGGCGAATTCAATGGAAAATCTTCGTCCGACGGTTACTAGTGGTCGCATGACCGAGCGTGCCCCATGGAGACCAGCCTCTGGAAGGTGCAGTATGACAAGAGGTTTACCTTCCTGATGTGTTTTTCCATCAAAAATTAGAGATGAATTCTTTTCCGGCAGGAGCAAATCTCCATGCACTCTCCTTTCTGTGAGCCATGTATCTAGTCCCCAACTTCTTTCAATTAGCAGCGCCATCGGGGTGTTGCGTGATTTCATTTACCACGACTTCCCTCATGACATTCTTATCAACACTTTCCTGCATCAACTTGAACAGGAAGGTTCAAGTTCTCATGATTGATCAGTATTTGTTCCTCCATACTAATTTTATCTCGTTCACAGATCATCCCTGCCTGTTCGTTTCATTAGAATCGCTTCGGTTTTCCTTAACTGAGCTCTCTTTTGTAAATAGCACAACGTCGGAAGGTTTCAACTTTAACTATGGCATGGTGACATTTTACACTTTGTTTTCGAAAGTGCAACTATGCTGTTGGGAAATGCAAAAGTAATGAACTCGAGTTCGGTCATCATTAGTCCCTGTCAGCAGTATCGGGTTCCGGACATCCGACACCTGATAGACAACACGAACGTGTTATCACTACACAATGGGTGTACCGGAATTCCCACGTCTTAGCAGGTAAACGGACACTTGATCTGGTTGCTATCATCCAATGACACCTTTCACTGATTGCATACTAGACNTCACTACACAATGGGTGTACCGGAATTCCCACGTCTTAGCAGGTAAACAGACACTTGGTCTGGTTGTTACCATCCAGTGACACCTTTCAATGAGTGCATACCAGACGGAGTTTTTAAAAAAAATTGCCACCGGAAAGCTGGTAGCTTTCCGTCCCCATATTTGCTGTTTTGTATTGACGTACATAAGTATGTATGTGCGTGTACACCGACAATATTCATTTATAAACTACCGACCACAAGCTGGAACGTGATTTTCTCTACCATCGGTTTACAACGCTGGTTGTTTGTGTGTCTTCACTCTTAATGTGAATTACCACTGTATTGTGCCGAAACATTACAGCTGGTAATTAAAACTCGATCCGATCTATTGAATCAAGGTCAAGCGTTAAAAACTGGAATGCGCCAGGAAAAGTGGTGAAATAAAGCACTAACTTGCCAGTGGTGTTGCCGTTAGAGGAAGGCTGTGACAAATATGTATTCACATTGTTCTTGTTTTGGATGATCATCCACATGTCCTGGCGCGGACACTTCGGTCAGTCTACACCAAAAAGCGGAGGCACAGGACTCAAATTTCTCCTTATCGAAAATCATCAAGAGTGCAAAACCTTGGTGGTGTCGAGGTTTGAAACCCAGATACCTGACACAACTGAATATGTGAACCTTATTTCACTAGATGACAACAGGCCACCGAGGTAGCGCACTCGGCCAACTACTGATCGACACACCAGGAAGTACCCCCTATTGAAGCTCTCCGAGTCCGTTACAGAAGACAATGTCATCAACCGAAAGAGACAAACTCGCATTACTCCTATAGCTGAAGCGATTGCTGTCAGAATGTCTGCCTATCCTGTGCCGTCAAAAGCATCTTATCCACTCATCAACCCTCGTCGATAAGTTCATCCCTATGCAACATCTCTGCTTCCTTCGCCCTGCCTACATCTAGCTATCTAATTTGTTTAACCTCGTGTTAATTAAAGGTTTGCAGCTTTATTTTACTCGTTTTCTGTGATCAATTTTAGGTTACTTCCACAACTGTGCGACCTGATGATGGTAAAGATATGTTCATCTGAAAATTATACCATGAGAAAAAAATGACCACATAAAAATCAGAAAAACTCGAGCCACGTAAATCAAACGAGGGCCGGCGGAGTACGAGATAAACGAGAACACGATAAGAAAATAAACGAACAAGAACGAAACGACCGACATGGACCAATGTAGACAGTACAAATAAGAAGCAGTTCACACCCTGTATGAGACGTAAATAAAACTGTCTTGGTGAGATCTAACAAGGGCGGGAGGAAAGAGTTACATACAACGGAGAAATGAAATCATGGCTACCAATACGGCAGTATAGGTGGAAGAATCACAACAGCTTTATATTGAAACGCTGTGCGCAGTAAAATTCCGAATGTGGATTGAATCATGAGCGCGTTCACATACTGTACAGGTCTGTATCGGGCTAAAACATACGGTTGCCAGACATGAAAGAGTTAACAACTGCAATCGTTATGATACGTCACTACTGATGGTTGCGTGTCAGTCAGAGGTAACGGACGGTCGCCACCAGGGATGCCTCCGAGGATGTTGCGCTGACGACCGTAGCCAAGGCGATCTGGATCCAGATCGCCAGATTTGATTTTGGCTAGTATAGTCCTCGTACAGTGCAGGAATGACTCGTCCACATTTTCTCCAGTTAATGCAGATGTTTCGATGAAGTGAAGGTCATTGTCCTGAGCAAAAGCATTTGCTTCCCAATGAGTGACTTGCCCATCCTGGTCCTGACAACAGGTCAATACAAAAAGCAGATATACAATTCTGACCAGAAAGATAGCTTCTAACAACACTGCTCACAAAAGATTTGGCGTACCATCAACAACCAGTCAGGTCTCATACGCTAGGGCTACGAGTGAATCCGACCAGTAATTGGCCTCATAGCACGCGGGGGTAAATAGAAACGATTCTCCCTCCTACAGAAAGCAGGACACCTTTGAGAATTCCGTTGTCCAAGTTATCGAGGCCGGTAATTAGCTACATAATAATGGACGGGATATCATTCGTCGGAACAGGATTGATAAGGCCGAAAGCTTCGACAAACGCCAATCCGAACAGCTAACGATTTCAAGATTGGTGCGAATTGATGTGCAGTAAATTATTGCCTCCTTAAGAGGGCCTCCAAAATGAGTGACTAAATTCGGTGAGAACAGAAGTGAGGATTTATATAAATCGTTTGGACACTACAACTAAGCAACCTACCCCGTAACACACGATCACCACTATCGCCAGTTTCAGGGTAAAGACGTACTGTTGTTGAGTTGGACAATCCTGGACACAAGGGCCTGAGACTTTCAAGTAGGACCGATAAAAGATACAACGTGGAAAAATAAGCGCCGAAACTCGGGAGCGGGATCATCCGACGAAAAACGACCAGCTAGTGGAAACAAACTGGCCACTGGGGGTAACAGGTCACCATATCGAAAATGGCCCTAATTGCCCACGATCGTTTCACCTAGTCCTCCGGCGAATTTGGGAAACGGTGCGGCAAACACTCCCTTTCGTAGCAACTTCGGCTGGCCACCACCCTCTTGCATTCCATTCATGGTTGGGTTTCGCAAACAACGCCGGATGCGGGCAGTTTTCTCTCGACCCAAAGCTGTTACCTTGTCGGAAGTAAAAACTTCACACTCTGATCGCGCCAGGGTTGACCGTGACCGCCGGTGCATTATTCAATGCAGTCGAAATACGTTTACTACCAAAGATCCTGGGTCTGCTCAAAAGGCATCTGCTATGTGCAGCCGCATTAGGAATGAGACAATAATACCTTTCTCCCTGCGTCCTCCAGCCAAGTGGGTTGGACTATTGAGTCACTGGCTCTGGAAAAAGTCGCTCAATAAAACCTTACTGCCCACTGCCTTGCGGATCAGACTTTTGAGTCGGAGCCTGCGGGAAGAGTCCCAGAGAAAAATCCTAATCCTCCCAATGACCTGTGGATCAGGCTTTTCAGCCAAAGGCTCAAAATGGGGTACCTCAACCAACCCCGTTCATCGGGTTGGGCGACCGGGAAGTATCATTCGCTCTTGAGGGTCGTCGCTTCCGGACTCTCCTCCGCACCCTATCCCCAATCATCGAATAAAGCAGCACTATCAACCCATTTGCCAGTTCCATGGCAGTATTTTGTGTTTAAACCATCGCCTCGAAAATAAGCACTGAGAAATAATCTAATACAATTGCAACTCTCGATGTTCGTACTCTATAGCAAATTAAGCAACAGGCATCTCTTGCTGAAACATTGCTTTCCCTCTACGTTCAAGTGAATGGTTTCTCCTAAACACATATACAAGTCCCTACTTCGGTTGTGCACCTCAGTTCGCTTAGGACGGGCTCAAATGATCTATATTTCACTCTTCGGGCATTCAATGATCCAGATGCAATGGCTCGTGATATGGGAGTTTCGCCGAGTTCCATGTTTGAAAGCGCTTTATTGAGCTGGATCTTAGTAAACAATCGTCCACATGCTGTGTGGTTGTTTGGCTCAAGTAAGATTAATGCAGGTCGGTCAGACTTCAGATCTGAGAATAACTTTAATCGAAATCTCTGGCGACTGCTTCGGTCAGCAAGAAAAACGGGTAGAATCATCATGGCTGATGATATGACTGCCAAAGCTGGATGACTAAGCCCGGAAGAAGCACAATTTGGCAGTCGATTTGGAGTCGACGATCAATGTGCGGATAATGGGAAGCAACTGATTCAGTTGTGTGCTGAATATCGTCTGTTCCTGGCCAGTACGAACTTCCAAAACAAATGCTCACATTGAGTTACTTGGATGCCACCAACCGTAAGAAAGTCATGGACTCAATTGGACCATATGGCAACCACTTACCGATGAAAAGTCCCAATTAGAGATCGCCGTTCCTTCTAAAATACGCAACCTAAATCCAATCATGCCATCGTGTGGGCCCAGTTATCAGCTGGCTTTTCATCAGCATTGCACGTGCAAAAGCAGAGCAGCTCTATTCATCAACTTCGACAAGTTTCAGTAACTCCATAGTATCGAGCCGATATGGTTAGAAACCTACTGCAAACACAGTCATGCGGACGATTAAGATTGTGTGGAGATTGAATGGAAGCGAGTTCATGAGGCTATGCTCCCAGCCTCCAGGTTTGCTTGTACAAGTCATCCGAAGATCTAGCTCTCAACTCGATAAGGCACCGCGAGTGGATAATCTGCACCACGCACCCTGTGAAAGTGGTGAGTTCCCGCTGAACAGTCTGACGATTGCACTTTAGATTTGGAATATAAAATTACCAATGGAGTGGAGCTCTTCGACCGTTAGCCCAGTCTTAAAGAAGGGCGCAAGGACGTCATGTGAAGACCATCACGGCATAAGTCGGGTATCTATCGCATCTTAGGTGCCCCGTGGCATTATTTTGTGAAGGTTGATCGATTATCGAGAGACAGACTGGTGGAAACCACACTATGTTTCGACCGGGCTGGGAATGCATCGACTATTCTTTACCTTAAACCAAAGTCTTGAGAAGCGTTACTCTTTCAAACGTCCAACGTTGGTCAGTTTTCTCGACCTAAAAGCTGCTTTTGACCCCGTCCATCTTCAGGAGCTTTAGCGGTGTCTGGTGACTGAAGGTGCTCCTTTCAAACTCATACCCCCTTACATGGGCATTGTATGCGAACTCCTGTGGATGGGTACGAGTACACAGCTTCCGCCTGAGTTCACAAAGTTCAGTGGTGCAAGAGAAGGCCTTCCTCTCCCGCTTTCCTACACGCCTGTGTTACTCATATGCTACTTGAAACTACTCTGCCTGTCTCTGAGACCTATAAAGTCGAAGCGCTCCCGGGAAGTTCGCTCACAGACATTGAGTATGCGGATGATGTTGCTCTATTTGGTTCGGATCCTCCAGAAATGCAGAATATTTAAAATAACCTAACTAATTCGACAGCACGGTTTGGCACACGCATCACATCCACAGAGTGTGAAGTACTGCTGCAAGACTGGATGAAATAAAACCCAAACTTCATCCTCACAAATGGGCCAATCAACGTGATAGATTAATTTATTCACGTGGGATTTTGCATAACTTCTGATGGAACAGCTGTATACGAGATTAATTCTCGAATTGCAAGGGCCAGGACAGCTTTCACCAACCCCCGACATCAATGGCGCGGGGGTGACGTCAGTTGGCCTGTCAAGAGCAGACTTTACACTGCAGCAGTGCGATCCATACTGTAGCGCTAAGCCTACCTACCTGCAAGCTCATGTCACCAGAAACCAAGAGTTGTCTGGGTTTTTAGCCCACTTTAAAGGAACATCTATAGCGTCAGAGCTAGTCCGCTGCGACACAAGCAGGGAGCGTTTCTTCATTTCCCGAGGCTGTTTCACAGACGTTGCCAAACGAACTGCACGGAAGAGACTATCAAAGAGTATCTAATCTAGTAGAGACGTTTCCGCTCGAAGGCTCAGGGCAACACTCAGACCAGCATATCCAAAAACGAGGAGTGACGCATCAGGAAAGTTGCGCAGCCATAATCGGGAAGATAGCAGCGAGTCTGTGGGCTTAATCGCATCAATTGGGCTCTGGATTCTCGTTCCTGACAAACAACAAACATCACAGCAAAGGGAATCCAACGTACGTGAAAGTGACGCTTCTCGTCCCGCATGTTTCAGAGTACGAACAATAAAGGCTTCCGGGGTTTGAAAATTGATTTTGAGGTATTTAGGTCTGTTAAGTGAAGACAGACGCTGAGGGTGATGTACAGCGACCAAAGCTGTCAGTCATGACGTTAGGACCTGAAGAGAGTGCTCACGGCGGAGTGGGGCAGGGGAGGAGAATAAGGGAACGCGAAATCTCTGAACTACTGCCCCAAGAGCATTTCAGTATCCGAAGTAAGGAAGATATGTTTCCCACTGCCTGGCTGATGGCACTTAGGCGTACACCCTCTAAGGACTGTGATATAAACCAAACCCAAGAAGCTCCGGTGGTTACATATCTCGCCAGCAACCTCGTTCATATTTCGACGTCGCCAGGCCACTGACACGCCGCTGATCCAGTGAACAAGTGACCAAAAAGGCAAGTTAGAGGTTTTTATAAGCTGCTGGGACACTCGTACTTTTTATGATCCTTCCAGTCACAGCGTCAACGTGTGCAATCTGTATGATTATCGTTCAGATGTAATCCAAGGCCTGCACTACATTTAAACACCCAACTGCAACTATTGGTCAACAAGACATCTAGAGGAAATGTCATAGCAATGGTTGACTGGGATGTCTAACTGCGGGGACGGAACGACCTACTCGCTGCGAACTTGTTTTGGCTTCCGGTTCATTAATTCGGCGAAAATAAACAAACATTTTGACTACAGTGTGCACCTCCATCACCCGAAGAAGTACTTACTGAAGGTATCCGAAGGACGGTTGACTAACCGGACAGATCTACTACGGTTTGGTGTGCACATGGTAGGCTTCATCAACTCAGAATGGCATGTCTTACAGAGACGCAGGAAGCACATATCGCACGCTTGTTCGTGCCACACTCAAGCTTCAACCTACTACCAGATGATAAAAGGCCCGTCTTAAAAGGCGCAAAAAACCAAAGGTAATCATCAGAAGTTATCAGTAGGCATGGCATCCAAGCAAACTTAGCCATTCCGAAATTCAATAGGTTCTGGTAAACGAATACATCGCTGACAACCTAAAGATAATAAGTTAGTTCAGACAAGCTAGGCTATATGCGACGACATCAGACTGAATACCTGCATGCACCGCGT